ATTGCTTTGCATTCGCAAGTTTCACAATATTAGGTTTGGTTTCACTCAACGCGCATCTCATGTCATGCTCAACATTCAGACGGTTTCTGGCTTTTGTTTTTAATGTAACAAGAGTTGAGAAACCAGTTTCACATCTGTAAGTTGTGGCAAATGGAATCAACATTTTTAAAGCTCTAGATTCTAGAGGGACAAAAGTCTTGAACCTAAACTATACAAATTTACTACGGGATAAAATATATTGAATGAAATTAAAAGACGTTTTCGAGGTTTTAGACATATATTGCAACCATATTATGTAACATATAACACGAATTAGTAATTATTTGAATGTACAAAAAAAATACAGATTTTATAAAGAGAGAGAGATTAATTTTAAGAATCATGAAGACCTTGAACATGAAGAAGTTTAGTCAGAATAGTGAGATTCTTCAAAGTCGCTCTGGGTATCAGAATCTGAATTATCTGACTGAACTCCTCCGTGTTCAATGTCAGAAGACCTTATTTCTAAAAGTTTACAGACTTCAGGATTCATTTGGCTACGTCTAGTTTTGGGAGCAGCACGTAAGCTTGCAATGTAGAGGTCTGATGTTATTAATTATCGATTTATTAAGTCTGTGTTCGTGTCCACTCTTGAACCTTTTCGCGTAAAAAGTTCCCTAAATTTTCTGTTGTCCTTATTTCTGGCCTCTTGTGCTTTTTCCGAAGGTTGGCCGATTGGAAGGACGCAAGAAGTAATTATGTCTTTTCCGTAAAAGAGTATTTTGTGCACGCTAACGGGCATCGGGTACCATGAGTACTCTTTTATGTATAAGTCTCTCGTTTGCTTAGCAAATTCCTGAAACTTATTGATATTAATGTGAAATCCGCTATTTATGCATTCTAAGATGACATGGAAGCGCTTAATAAGCTCAACATTAACACCTGTTATTACAGCTGACTTTTCAGAATTTCTGAAGAACTTACGGGCTGTGTTACCATCATTGGTATTTACAGTTTTTTGTTTAGGCATATCTACTAATAAGCCTAACTCACTCCTGATCTTTTCTTGTATTTGTTTCTTTTTCTCGGCAACTTTTTTTTTATTCTCAGCTCCTCGAGCCTGCCACGATTTTATTTCAAGTCGATACGAAATATGCAATATGCATTCAAAAAATCTGATCCATGAATGTAGAGGTGATAAGCCCAAAGAAAGAAGATTGCTATTTACTGGTTTTTCTAAGATGCCGCTTACATTATTCATGTTCTTTGGCTTTGCACCACATAAATAGCAAGTGTGTGTGGAAGCACAAGATGCTACATGCAAAATATCAATGTTGGCTTAACCCAGACCTCAATGTCATTTACAATAATTTTAGTAGGTGAGAGTGAAGTGAAGTGAAGTTCCTTAATTTTATTCACCTCCGTCGTTATAACATTCACGGTTTCCTTGGCAAACACGAACTTGATGGGACGACAATATCTGGTTGAAGCAGGTGAAAGGTTTTGCCACACAATCTTTTTGACGCTCTGTTCATTTATTGCATTGATTTGTATAGGCACCATCGATATACTGAACAAACTTTCATCACTGCAATGTTCTTCAGAGAATTTTTGTTTGTATTTATTTTGCTCCGCTCCATCACATCCCCATTTTACAATAATATCTAAACTTTTCAAGTCACTCATAGTCTTAAGTACTTCCTCTTGCACTTTACACAATCGTATAATTGTGTGGTCCATTAGAGATTGTAAGTAAATTTAAGTCATGAGATCAATCTTCACGTATTTTTCATTTTTTTTTATTATTCTTATACACTTTAACACTTTTAGTACTTATTTTAATAATGGCACTATTTAGTCAGTCGATAATTAAACAGGGTACTTTATTAAATATTATGTTATAGTATAAAAACAATCACTGTGTTAATCTGAAAGGTTGCCATATTGGCGGAAGTTAGTATATTGCTGATACTAAACTACTTTCCCTAAGGAACCCATAGTGAATTTGCGAAAATACCGTCAGTTTTTTGCGAATTTATTATGGGTGCTTTGGTGAAAGTTGTTCAGTATTAGCAACGTAGTAAACTCCGTGAATAAGGCGAGCTTACACCCTGTATACCCTGTATATACTTATATGTAATATTTTTATTACAATACAATACCATATCTTACTAAGCTCTATAATTATTACTATTTAGAACATTCATATCACAAAATACCTAATTTATACAAAGTTTAATACTTCCTCAATTTCCTGTTCACAGCAGATATCACTTTCTCGAACTTCTAAATTTTCTTTGTTAAATTGTTACTCTCCAAAACATTTTTGTAAAAATTCAAAATTTCCAATTCAGTCCAATCAGGTCCATAATGTTTCGTTAGTAAATTTTTAACATCTCTCAATTTTAAATGGTTCACAGCAATGCCTGTATTTAATTGCTCTGGTATCATGTCCCATATGTTTTTGTTAGGTCGTAGCAAAACTTTACTGACGCCGGTATCGCTTTGGTATGACATTTCTCTTCGTGTTACAATTCTTCGTGTTTTTACCTCTTCTCAGTATCACGCGTTTAGTTTTACTTATTTTTTTATTTTGCCCACCACACCCGTCTGCCATTAATCTGATAGTTTTTATATTTCGAAGATCAAGAGAATTCAATGCTGTACTGCGCTGCAAATTTCGTTCGCTGATTTCGAAGTGACATTTTCGGTCCACAGGTAGGACATTACATTGTTTTTGTTCAGACAACTATAAGAACCTATGACTACCGTGAAATTATAAAGATACAGCTGCCTGGAGTAATAAGTTGCTTGATCCAGTACTTTGGGAAGTTCATTTAAACTATTCATAAATAATTATTTTAACAAACGTGCTGGATCTAGCCTATTACGGCTATCGGTGTTCAACGAACAGGAGGACCTCGTTACCGGGTGACAACGGTGAGACAAGATCAATACATTGTCACTACCAGCTTACGCAATCGACGCCTTACCTCTGTTCAAATACAAGAACAGCTCAGGGACTTTCACGGAGTGGCTGTAAGTGCTCGGACCGTTAGAAGGCGACTCAATGAACGTGGTTTAAAGCCCCATAAGCCAGCCAATGGACCCAAATTGACACGAGCACACCGAATAGCCCGTTTAGAGTTTGCGCGAAGTCCTGATATGAATCCTATAGAGCATCTATGGGATGAGCTGAAGAGTGAAGGCTCATCATTCTGCCCCGCACCAAAAAAATCAAGGTGGCTCGATTTAGGTGTCCGGAAATGTAAGGCACAAAATCAGTCTTATTATTGTTACTTGAGATCACTTATTTAACCTACTATTAGAAATCAACATCAAAGCAAAATCAAATATGTATCTCTAAAAAAATGTGTTAAATACTTCTTAACGTATTTGTTAAAATTCTTAATGTAATATGAGAAAGAAAGAAAGAAAGAAAAATCATTTATTTTGGCAATTACACGCACAGAAAACAAAGAATATAAAAAAATAAAAATACATCTATATAAACAAAATACTAATAATAAACTTACAAGAATAGAGATCAGAATAGACAATATATCAAAACATCACAATATAACAAAATAATAATACGATAATAACAGAATTTTGAATAGACAATAAAAAAAATCTAATAAACAAAATAATAATATTAATTTTAATTTGCGCGTGCTAATGCCAAAAGGGCCTCCACCTCAGCATATAGTTGGACGTTTGTGCCCAACGCTGATTTTCAGGTGGCACCCTGCAGTGAGTCACGGACGGCGGTGCCGCCCCTCAATGAAGACAGAAAATAAACATGAAATTGTATAAATAATATAAATTTAGCTGAATGTGTGTATGTGAGTGTGTGTGTGTGTGTGTGTGTGTGTGTGTGTGTGTGTGAGTGTGAGTGTGAGTGTGTGTGTGTGTGTGTGTATGTGTGTGTGTGTGTATGTGTGTCACCAAACTCCAGCATAGTTTACGAGTGGCGAAATGATCACAATTAAAACACTCAACTTAATTACGAGCATAAAGCTAAGCTTTCTTCTTTCTGTACTTTTTCTTTGATGATATTTTGTTATTTTCAGGGTGTTCTTCGTTACAATCAGAGTGGTCTTCGTGCATGTCTTGTTGAAAAGTTTGGGCAGGTAGATCGAGTTCATTTGTTTCAGTTTCACTATTCGTACTTTCATCATCATTTCCTTTTTCTGATGCTATCAATATTTTGCTTATTTTAGCCAACTGGACAGTAGATTCCGGTAATCTATAGTATTCTCGGTAAACCCATATATCGTGACCCATAAATGTAGCCAACTGATCTAGCTCGTTATTTGTCAAATTTAATATTTGTGACATTGTTGCAACATTTTTTCTCAATTTTGTGGAAGTAAGATTTTCCGGATGTTTAGCTCCTGATGATATAGCAAATGTTCTCATTACATCGAAACGAAAGTGAGACAGCGAAGAAATAATCATTTTCTTTTGGTATACCAACGTATCTACCTCTATAAAGCAGTAATATGTCGTATGCTTCAATTAGTTTTGGGTACAATATAACTGGAACTTTTCTTCCTTTTTTCCCACGCACTTCAAACCGAATAAATGCTTGCGAGATAGCAATTTCAAATTCAGAGAGTAAATTTTTGTCTACATCCTTGGGATTAATTTTGGTTAGGTAACTTTTCACCGGAATTTTCTCCACCTCTCCCGCTCTTCTTCTGTTGAATAATAAAGTTTGCGCGGGAGCAATTTTTGCTAAACTAGTCCAATTATTAATTGTCACTCCTGCATTTTTTAAAAGCGTTATATATTTATCCCTTTCTTCCTTTAAAAAGTTATTTAATAATTTGACATCTTCTGCCAATGGCAACCTATCTGGCATGTTCCATTTGTTTCTATACAAAGTTGTTAAAGCACCGGTAGAAATATTTGTTGACCATTCATTTTCGCAAAGTTTAATGAAATTTTGTGCCATTTCTCTTTTGAGAGTGAGATTTTGTATAAGCGATTCGGTAATTATAATATTGGCGCATTTTTTAAGGGAATGCCCAATTTTGAGAGCAAGACTTGGTATTCCATAAGTAATCTTTCGGAAAATATATCGGATTTATACACTCTGTTAAGTTTTGAATTGCTGGACAGATTTTTCTTATCTCAATTAAAAAACGTGCTAGTTCTCTCATTTTTTGGCTTATGTAGCCACTCAAGTGAGGATCTTGGTCATGTTTGGTTATAGGCTTGCTGCCTAATTTAAGAATCAAATCGTCTTGCTTGACTATAAGTGAAATTTCATCAATGTTCATTAGTGAAAGAACATTGGTTCGCAGCTTTTCTGAAGCAGCAACGGAAATAGGTAATATAGAACCTTCTTTTTTAACAGATTTTGCCTTCGTGTGTCGTCTCGTTTTGAGCAACATAAGTAGTGACGAGAAAGTTAATTTTTTGAATAATAGGCTAAACAAGATGGACATGGCAATAAAGACTCAACGGAACTTGCGGATTTGCTTCGTTTTTGTGGTATAATTAACGTGACCATTTATTTTTTTTTTGTCAAAGCGGGACGAGTCCTGCGGAATTACGTAAAAAAAACTTTTTTGTGTTTTACAAGTTTTTTTATTAGAGAAAATAATAACAGTAATAAAAATAATCATAATACTTATAATAAGTGTAAGTTACGATGAAGTGGCAGTATTTTTGTATTTGTCGGCTGAACAAATTAGTTTTAACATATCAAGTCTTGTTTTTAGGTACGAATATAGCTCAGTACATGATTTATTAATATTTATCTTTGTAACCAAAATGGCTTTCAATACTGCGACACTTAACTGCGTTTTTTCGCTTGTCCATATTTTATTCATTTGAAAAAAACTTTCGACAGGTGCGTTACTTCCAGGCAGACACATAATGTATTCAATAATTATGGAAAAGTTCGTTAAGTCGAGATTGTTCGCACGGAAGTACTGGAATAATTCCACCCAACGATTTTCAGCAGCAAGATTTTCAGTATTCCAGCCAGTGACTTTTTCATCTGTCGCAAAGTTGGAAATAAGCGAAAACTTGTCTTGTCGGGGTAAAAAAATATACATTATTTAAAAGCTAAAATATGTAGCTACCTCTAGAAAAAAAAAGGAAACTGGGGTAGACTGGGGGTTTTTAGTTACCCTCCAACAAACCTTTGAAAGTTAGAAAAATTACGCCTTGAAAGACGTATGAGCGTAGGTTTCTTTTATAAATTTACACAGTTAAAAATACTTTATCATGTATATATAATAAAAATATACATACCTTCTAGTATATAATCCATCACTAATAAAATAGATTCAATCACAAAATTTCTTTGGAGATGTTAATCAACGTAGTGCTAAATTGCAACTGAATAAATGTGCATTTGTGATTTACACAATAAAGGGTACTTACACATTTCAAACAAAACAAATCCACAGTGTTAAACGAAAACAATTCCTAGAATTAGCGTCTCTATGGTGTTGTTTACGGTAAACGACACTTTGTTTTCGAGTGTTTGATAACGATTTTTGTCCAGCTACCATGTTCTAGTCGACATACTGTGGAGCGCCGTGACTTAGACTGGTCGCGGTTGCGGTATCGGAACGCGGAACTGGACCGATAATTATAATTGTTGTTCCACCGACGTATGAATTTTGGCCGGGATTCTTCAGCTCATTTACCTTGAGGCTGAGTTTTGCTATTTCAGCCATGATAGTTTCTGCTTCTCGGCTCAATGGAGATTGCTGTGCTTGTGACACTTCGTTAACCTGATGAACTGCGCACGAAGTTTCGAATATATTGTCGGCAATTGACGAGAGATGATCCAGATCTTTTAGCTCTGATACTGCGAGAACTGCGCGAATGGTTTCTGGTAAATGACCTTGCCATAGTATTCTTAGGGTGTCGTCAGGAATTTTGTCCTTGGCGAGCTCTCTCATGCGTCGCAAAAGTTGTGACGGCTTTTGGTCGCCCAAATCCATTTCGCTTATTAGTTTTTGAAGCTGTCTGTTTTTCGACTCCTCGTATATTCGTAATAAGCGGTCTTTGAGTGCATCAAACTTTTTACTGGCGAAGGCTCTATTAATAAATCTGTGACTTGTTGAATGTTGAATAGCCTCTTTGCTCAATTTAGATACAACAATATCGTACCTGGCATCGTCGGAAAGTTTTTGTGGTGGCAGCATTGCTTCGGTGCGGATGAACCATACTCTGGGTTGATCTGTCCAAAACTCAGGAATTTTGGAAGTCAAGATGATTGCTGCCAGTTCCGATGCGGCTGAAGGATGTGGATTTGTTATCTTGCGCGGTTACACCAGACAGTTAAAAAATATTGAGGTTGCTAACTTGTTCACATCACGTCGGGGTCACCACTTTAGGTTCTTGTTGGGTCACTCACTTTATAGGAGATAAATAAAACAGATGTTACGGAACTGAACTGAATATGTATTGCCTCTATGGTGTACAGGCGACGAGTGTGTCATGCGCACAATGCGATTACATGTTTATACCTTAAGCTATAACAGTGTGTGTTCTATGCGATACCTAACCCCTACAAAGGTACTGCTTCAACGGTGCATACATCTTCAATATTCTTTCGATCCCTGGAAACAGACTAAGCCATCGGGTCTTGCTATGAAACAATAGTTTCTGATAATTGACGTCTATATATTCGCTGATATCCTTCAACGCCTCCGTGCGTACGGTGTATACGGAAAATTAATTAAACAGCTTCATTATTACACATTCTATATCAATATGCAGATTATCAGTGCCATGTTGAATACAATTGTGTAGTATGTGCGCTGGGCACCCAACTCCTACGATATCTTTGTCCAGAAAGTTTTTTAAGTTAGTCCAAACATTTTGTCCCGGTTCACAGAGGCGAAATATCGATAAAAGTCGGCATAAACCTAATATTCATTTAATTTGCTGGGTTTGTTAATATTTTCATGAATTAATCCTAATTTAAGTAGTTTAACTGAGAAATAACATGTTCAGGAGTAACAGATTGTTATTGTAACGGGATATGTATTAAATAAAACATCGTTGTGAGAACATAAAGTATATTAAGAGAATATTGTTTTATGAAAAAATTTCATCTATTAGACTTAGGTCTAAAGGAGAGAAAGACGATATTTTTTTTGATATTAATGTCCTTAATCCGGTTATATAAGGGTCTGAAGATACCATGAGTCTGTGGTATGTGTCTTCCACGGTCATTTTCCTTGAAAAATTTCTTGAGAATTGCTCTCTGTACTTTCTAATGTCCTTGTTGCGACTTTCTTGTGCATCTTCACTTAGAAGCCCTATAGCAATACCCATATTTTCAATAATTTGATGACCGTGGACCAATATTTTGTGCAACGTAGTTGGCATGTTAAACCAAGGATAGTTCATGACAAATGCGGACGCGGTTTAAAGGCAAAAATGTTTAAATTTTTCTGTGTGTATCCTATAACCACACGATAAAAGTTTTAATATTGTATGCAATCGATTAATAATATTTAAGTTGATGCCAGTGATTTGAGATACTTCTTCTGCGTGCTGGAATATTATGCGTGTTGTATTGCCGTCTGTTGACGTCCCTCCTCCTTGTCTTGGTTTGTCCACATGTAGTCCAAGTTTTTCTAAGAATTCTTTTTGAATTCGTTTCTTTTCTGAAGTAACGATCTCTTTATCTCTTTCGCCTCTTGCTTGCCACTTGGCAAGTTTTAATTTATATGCCAGATGTAACACGCATTCAGCTAATCTTATCCAGGCATGGAGGGAAGAAATGCCATATTCTAAGTTATCGGTCTTCACTGTTTTTTTTAAACAAAAGTTTAGTTTGTTAAAATCCTTGCTTGTGGCTCCACAAAGGTAACAACGCATCGCTGAGCTGGTGTCAGTTAGAGCGTTTATCATTTTCCCATCTACCATTGTTAATTTTAGGTCGTGTTTAATGCACCATTCCTCATTTTTTGTTGGCAAAAGATCTGCTCTCTCTATTTGTAAATTTGCAGCTTCTTGTCTTGAGAGTTCAGAAGTTTCAGGAGCCATCTGAAGCCTCAAAGGCCGGCAGTATCGTGGTGAAGAAGGCCGGGGATTTTGCCAGACAAGTACATTATTCGTAGTTATTACACGTATTGGCACTATTGCCGTAACCATCATGTGCTCGTCCGATGATTCTTGATCTTGAAAGATTTGTTTGTATTGGGAATGGCTTCCAGATCCGTCACACCCCCACTTTGAAATAAGGCATAGGTCTTGCTTTTGATTGGGACGCAAATGTAAAATCACTTCTTTTAGAGAAAGCAAAAGTCTTTCAGCAGTGTGGTTTAAAAGATTTTGGAGAGATACTTCAGCTTTTATTTCGGTACACATAATACCCTCGGGGTAACACTTCTTTTTAGCTTCTGTTACAGACTCGTAATTAGGGTAAAGATTACAATTTAACTCTAATGCAGACTTACGCAATACATTGTATTGGTGTTTTGTTAGGTGGCTTTCAATAACTAAAGACAACGCTTTATCTGGCGTAAAGCGTGCATGTGGTTCATCAACTGATTTTAAAGTTGTACCTGCAGATATATTTTTTATCAATTTAGATTTATTAACTTCTCCTGCTGCGCGGTATTCCACTTGTGCAGCAAAAGCTAATTCAGCAGGTGTTAAATTCTTCCTAACGTCTTCGGTCTTTTTGCGTTTCGTACGTTCAGAACAATCTTCAAAGTCTTTAACGGCACGACCACCCGAACCACTACTTCTTTTTTGTCCTCTGCTTGGTACAGGAAATGTAATATACGTTTCAAACCAATTTTTATTAGAGTTTTTACATCGCTCAAAGTTTTTATGTGACGTTGCTAGCTTTTGTTTGTATGTGTAAACCAGTTTGCTTAAGACACTTTTTATATCGCTTGACAATTCCGGCACTCTTAGGGCATTTGCAACTTTGTTACACAAATAATGCATTCGATCAACATCACTCTTAGACGGACATTCTCGATAGTAACTCACAAGAGTTATTCTGTTAATACAAATTTCTTCATTGTTGGATCCTAGAAAGAAGAAGTAAAATTTAAAAAAAGTAGTTTTCACTAATAGGTAGGCTAGTTCATTAGGAAGATTTTAGTATACATTTTATATATCTTTTGTATAAATTCACTCAGGTATCACACTGGCTCTCGACCCAAATGAAACAAAATCCCCACTGGAACCCTTACAAGACGTGCATTATTAAAATCGTTCTAGTTACATGGAAGTGATATATTGAATAATTATTCCTTACTATTAAGTCTAAAAAAAGTCTTTTGCACTCTATGTCTAACTACAAAGACAAACCCGTGCTGAGCCGAGACGTGTAGTTAATACTTAGTTAAGTTACACAGGAGACTCAATATGAATTCTCATTCAAACGCATATTTTGTTAAAGCGTCTAAATTGGTCGCCTTTAAAAGTTACTTTTATTCATTAAATAGTAAATAAA